AGGCGTTACTGCGTTTGTTCCCACCCTCTTCTCCCGTCTGACACCCTGGAGCCAGAGAGAGAGAGAGCTAGGAGATGAAAGCTGCCCCCCTTCTTGTCTGGGGTGGAGGCCCCCCAGTTTTCATCCTGGGTCTGTATCTCACAGAGAGAGGGACACTGCCTGTGCCTTTTAACTTGGGTAGGCTGCATCCCCACCCCACCCTTCTCTGGGCCCCTGGGGAAGATGAGAATTGGCTGGGTGATAAGTAATTAATCTGGGAGTCTGGTTGTAGGGAGAGAAGAGGGGAAGGTGGGAGCACCCCATTTGGGGGAGGAGGTGACCACCTGATATCCCCCGTTGGCCTTCTGAGATGAGGTGTGTCCCTAAAGAGGAAGGGTAGCAGCTGCAGTTGCTCTTGGGGGTGCTCAAGAGACCCACCACTCTGACAGTGACCATTGTGCTTCTGGGGCCTGGAATGAGCTTTGGCGACTGGGGGTGATGATGGTGGTGCCTGGGTTCAGGGTCCAACTGGGAGGGAAGGATGGAGCAGATCATAGGAACAAAAGGAGGCAGGGGGTGGGAGATCAGGAGTCTTAGCCAGAAGGACCCATGACCAGACTGCTTTGCAGGACTGGAGCCTGGAGCTGGGTCCTGCCCTGGGCCTCCTCAGGTTCAGAGGATGTAGGCAGGGAGGGTCCTCAGTTTGAGTTCCAGGCAACAGGGGCCCTGAGCCTATGCTGGCTGTTTAGATGCTGGGCTGGGCTGGGCTGGGCTGGGGATGGTGGGTGAGCCATGTTGGGGGCTGCCTGCTTCTTCATTTCAGTCTTCCTTCCTTCCTCTTCCTCTTAAACACAAAGCTTGGGGAGCCCTTAGTTTGCCTCCTGCCCCTTCTCTTGAATCTTCTCTTTGCTCTGTCTCCCCTTGGACTTGGATCTGGGCTATGTCCAGACAAGGCAGGGTGGGCGTCTCTGAGTTAGAGGGGTGGGCCCCTAGCATCTCCACTCTATGCCTGGAATGTATGCCTGCCAGGGGCCAGAGAGACGGATACCAGGTGCAGTTTACTTGGGGGCAAGGATGGAGGACGTGTTAGCTCCGTGCCAGCTTCCCCTTCCCAATATACCCTCCTCTGTGGCTGGATGGAGTAATCTGGGGGGGTGGGGCGGGGAGGGCAGCACTATCACATGCCCCACCCACTCTAAGTAGCTGCAGAGACAAAGGTTTGCATTCCCTTCCCTAGGGGTGGCATCTTAGCTGTGTGTTTAGAAATGGGGGCTGGGGCTGGGGGGTGGTGGTGTGGGGCGGGGAGTTTGTGTTTCTGCAGGGGGGAGGGGGCATCAGCTATAGGAGCTGGGGGGAGTGCAGTTGGTGCCGAAGTACCAGCTGCTCTTTAATAATTAATTCTTCCTACTCACATCCCTTTGAGGAGGGATGTCTGGAACACGGCATCAGGCTCAGCCAGCCTGCTGGAGGACGCACTCCTGTTGGTGGGGGGTGGGGGAGAGACGGCGAGGGGGTGCGGTTCTTGGCATTTTTGGAGCACTGTTGCTTGCTCATGAATGAAAACCTGATGCAGCCCGTGAGGGGGCCTATTGTAGCCGACTTTGGCTAATTAAACTTTCTCTGCCTTTCTTCTCCCCCACCCCACCTCACCCCAGCCTCGGCCCCAGCCATGTCTTGGAAGGGGACTCTGTCTGGTAGTGCTGGTGAGGGGGTACCGTTCTGCGTGAGGTTTTAGGGCAAACAGACCCGGCCCCACCCTTTTTCTTTTTCTAGAAATAGCAGCCTCCTCCATCTGGCTTGTGCAGATGCCTGGAGCTGCGTCTGAGCAGACAAACAGAAATGGGCCGATTGCAAAAATGAATTTGTCAGCCTGGTGCCTTTTTTCCTCCCCTGTTGCCCTCCCCCCTCCCTTAGTTTGGGCCCTGGACATCCAAGTCAGCCATCCCTCCTGGCTCTGATCATCTGCAGGCTTCTGGTGGGCCAGCTTAGGGGAAGGCACACGGCGATGGAAGCTTTTGGAGGCTGGGGAAAGTGATCAGCCGTGGCCACGGTCAGGAGGGGTCAAGATGAGAGTTCCTTTGTGCCTTGGGATGCGATGTCTCGGCTTGTAGCTTTCTGATGATGTCTTTGGGGCACATCTCATATTGTGAGCAGTCTCAGGCTCACAGGATTTGGTTCAGACAGCTCACCTGGCTGCCTTGACCTGGGGACAGGTCCCCAGCCTCAGTGCTCAGGACTTGGGCCTGCCTCTAGCAGGGCCAGAGCTGGTGTGTTGGCAGAGCAGCTGCCTGGTGGTGCTGGAGTTCAGGTTCCTTGAGGGACAAGATACCTGCAGGGCAGCATTGTGAACTTCTGGCCTTTGAGGCATTGCATCCTCCTCGTGTCTCTCACTTGTCTGCCCTTCTGCCACCCTCTGCCAGAGTTTTTATTGCTCGTGAATGGAATGCGGGATATTCCCCTAGGGTTTTTGCCTTTCCTCCCCCGGCTTAGCCATGAGCTTGTAGGGTGAGATGCAGCAGGTTTCCTGCCATCCTGGCTGGAGGTGGGAAGTGGGTTTGGATCCTGGAGTGGGACAGAGGTCTGACTGGAAGAGAGAGTTCTCAGGGGATGGGGACAGGGCCCTGGGGTCTGCCTACTTGTGATGTCACGGAAGCCAGGCTGCTCACTGGTTTGGCATCGAAGTGCCAGGAGCCACACGGCTCTTGGTCCCTGACTGCCCACCGAGACCTTCCTATAACAAATGGTCAGCAGTGAGTTTCTCTGGCTGAGGAGGCACCCAACAGCTCAGGTTTTTGGGTTTTTTTCCCAGCAGCTCAGGTTTTAACCATAAAGCTGCCCTTTCCCCTTGCATGGCCCTCCTTAGTCAAAAATCTACACCTGTCCTGCCTGTCCTGATTAGACCATGAATGCTGCTTTGTTTCCCAGGGAGGCTTGATGGGGGTGTTGGCAGACACTCTCCACAGGTGGATGAGGGTCTGGGGTACTGCTGCATCCTGCAGGGTGGGCAGGAGTGCAGCCTAACAGAGTCCTGAGCCCCTGGGGAGTTCTGGGAGCCCCTCCCTTCCTCTTCTCCCCAGGGGTGAGGAAGATGGGGGCTCAGGGCAGATCTTAACGTAGATTGTGTACCATGGAGGCTCTGCCCCTCCTGAGTGCCCTGTTGTGGAGGTTCCTTTCACTAAGGAGATGGGCTGGGGCACTCGGGCTGCTGGGAATCGTGGGAATTTCTGAACCTGTGTTCCCCAGCCCATGGGAAAGGGTGTGAGCAGGGCTGGACCCCAGCCCTGGGGTGGGCGTGGGCTGAGCTGTCTGCCCACGCAGGCCCTGCCAGGGCACCAACAAGCCCACCTGCCGCCTACCTGAGCTTGGCCCCTGTCCTGCGCAGCCTCTTTTGTCCTTGCCCCACACCTGTACCTGCTGGGAGCAATTCAGCCCCTTCTCTCTGCCTCCTCCCACCTCCCCATCTGAGTGCACCTTTCTCCAGCTACAGAGTCCAATCCTAGGGGGCAGCAGGCCTAGGAGGACTTGAGGTCTTCCTACTCTGTGCATGGCACACGTGTGTGCACGTTTGTGTGTATGTTCTTGTGTCCCTGCCGTGGCTGACTCCTGCGCTCCTCGGCTCCAAATGGACCCCACGCCTGGCGATCCTTGATGAGAATGGAGAGCTTACCGAGAATTTATCCTGCCAGGAGGTGGGCTGTCCTGGGCTGGAGCTGATTATCTCTTCCTAGTTTGGGGAGCAGAGTTAGGGTTTAAATCTCGGCCTCATCGATCGCTTCCAGCTACCTTGATTTCACTGGGTGTTGGAGGGCCTGCCTTCATCTGGAAGAAAACGAATGAGATCGTGTCTAGGGTGGATCGTGGACTATTTAGGGATGGGCCCAGGTGGGTGCGTGTGTAGTGTCTGAGGCTTGAGGACTAGCTGTGGGGCTGGAGCGAGGTGGGGAGCTGGAGAGGTGGGGACAGGTTGGCAAACTCATGGTCTTGTAATACGGGGACATCCTCTCTTACTGTATTGGCCTCAGCAGGTGTACTGCTGGGCTTTTTGGTGCCTTTGTACAAACTGGAAAACGGTGTCCCTTATTCTGGATGGATTTAGCCTGTGTAGCTTGGCAGGCAGAGCAAAGGCTGGATTTCAGACCTCGTTGCACAGGGCACAACCTATACAACACACACAAGGCCCTGGGCTTGGGCCTTGGACCCCCAGTCCAGAGGGCACCGGATGTGGGATGAATGTCTCTGTCTTTCGAAATTCTTGGAAGCAGCATGGTTAATGGGTAGAGCAAAAGTAATTGTTGCCCTCTTTTTTCTGACCTGTTGTTGAGTGGGGGATACCAAGACAGAAGCACGTCACGTTTCCAGAGTTGGGTGGCACAAGGATCAGGGAGTAGGGAGAAGATGGGAGTCCCACCTCAGGCTACTGGGGCTGGGATACCAGTCTCTCCCTTAAGTTCTGCGAGGGGCTCCAGATCAGCCCTGCGTCTCCCCACTGCCCTGGACAGAGTTCAGAAGCACTTTCCCTGCACTTTCTCCTTTGGTGAGCACCATCTCCCACGTCAGGCACCATTGGGAGTCTGTGAGGTCTCCCCACCTGGCAGTGGACATTGTCACCTAGAAAAGAATTTTGTTGTGGCTACTGTAGCCATTTCCCTTCCCTTGAGGGCTGACGTCCTCACCAATTAGAAAGAGAAGAAACCAGGGTCTGGTCCAGTTCTGTGCCCCTGGGCCCGTGGCCCTCCCTCTCTTCCCTGGGTGTAACTGACAAGCTCCAAGGTCTCCTTTGACTCTCAGATTCCAGAGTTGGGGACCTCTAACCCTGCTCCATCTCTCCCCAGGGATGCCGTTGTGAGTGCCTGACTGCCTCGCCCCGAAGGATGGCCTCGGATGGGCGTTAGAGGCACAGCGGCCCCGGGCTCCTGTCCCGTCCGTCTGTCTGTTATCGTCTGTCTCTCTTGACATCACCGCAGCTCCACCCCCTCCCGTCCCAGCCCCCAACGCCAGCTTCCTGCGGGCCCAGAGCCGGCATGAACTCTCCCACCGAGTCGGGTAAGAGCTGGGAGGCTGGAGAAGGCACCTGGGGTGGCTTTGGTTGTAACGGGCTGTATGGGCATCCAGCCCAGGCCAGCTGCCCTTCAGGGTCTGAGCCGTAAGGGAACAAGGGGTCAGGAGTGGAGAAGCATCGTGAGAAAAGGACAGAGGCAAACCCAAAGTGATTGACCATGGGGTAGACCTGAAACTGATGGGTTGACGGTCCAGCCTGGCCCTGGGAGGGCATGGGTTCAACTCTGTCCCCAGGCCTGCCCTCTCAACTCAGGGGCCTTCAATTCCGTGCCACCCTGCCCTGTTCACCAAGACAGGCAGGGCTGAGGGGGATGTGCGCCCCTGAACCTCTGCAGGCGGTCCGGGGATGATGTTGGAAGACGTTCCCTATGATGGCTGAATGTCCAGCTTCCTTTTTTGTGGTGGTGTCCTCTCTTCCTGGTGGAGTGTTTCTCTGTGTTCCATACTTTATTCTTAGTGGAGCTTTGCAGGGCCTTCAGCCTTAGCCTATGTTGGGATATGTGGTATTGGGGAGGGCAAGCAGTGACATGTTGGTGGAGGAGGCTCCTTTGAGTCCAGGTAGACATGCCCTGGACATGGGAGACTCCTAATTTGGGGTCTCTGAGGTTTCTTATTCCCCTCTGCTCGTGGGAGCCTGCCTAGTGCTTCCAGAAATAGTCTATGGGTGGGACTCCAGGCAGCTTTGTGTACGGGTGGGTCTGGGTTTGTGCCCGTGAGGATGTGTCCAAATGGCCTGAGCTGGACCCTCAGGAGTTTCACAGGGGGGTCTTGGGTCAGTGTGGTCAGAGTAATAACTGCCTTCCCTCCTTGGCTGTCTCCTTCTGCACAGACTTAAAGGATCAGAGTCCATCTTGCTCAACTTTAACCCCTGCCCCCCGCCCCCCACAGGCCATCCGGTCACTTTACATCTTTTTCTGTAGGGGTGGGAGCTATTTCTCCTTCTTTAGAGATAGGGAAACTAGAGCCTAGAGAGCAAAACCTACTTGCAGGCTGGTACTGAAGCAGCACCAAGGAGGAATCCAGGCCCCTTCGCCTCTCATTCCCTGTCCTTGTCACTGTGCTCAATCTCATGCTTCCTGTTGTGAGGATCCCCTACTGGCGACCTGTGTCCCTGACCACAGCCCCAGGGCTACTAGCAGATTCGATTCAGGGAAGCTGAAGCTGGCGGGATTGTTTGGCTTTGTGACATTTGTTTTGGTCAAGGCTGTGCCCCCTCCCCTTTCCCTTTCCAGCATGACATACCCTGGGCACAGACAGAGTAGAGTGCCAGCTGGAGAAGGCTGGGCTCCTGAGACTTACCAGGTCAGCTTTGCTGATGGGCCCCCTCCTGCAGGGTCTGTGGCTCCCCCTCAGGTCCTCCCGCCTCTGCCTGCCTTCATTCCCCCTGCGGGGGCTGTGCCAGGTGTTAGACGTGGAGAGGTCTGTGTGACTCTGGTGCTGGAGGGGGGCTGCCCTGACTTCCTGCTTCCTCCTCTGAGGCTGGGCTGGCGAAGGGAAGGAGAGGCCTGGTGGGTTCTCATCAGCCCCTCGGCCATCTCAGCTGGACACTGCCCCTTGCAGGGTCAGTTGTGCCCAGCAGGGGTGCCAGCCGCTCCCTTCCTCTGAGCTACTATGCTGACCTGTCCAGGAGCCACTTCCATTCACACCGGGCCTGGGGTCTAACCCTTGGCCAAGGGAACAGGAGCCTCCCAGAGGCATCCGTTGGTGGCTTGGGGAGGACGTTTTCCAGCTTTGGGATTTTATTCCCTTACAGTGAAAGGCTGAGATAATCAGTCTCAGATAGATCAGGTCAGTGGGTTGCCTTTCCACATGCAGGTGGTCCGAGTCCCCCCTTGTAGCCACTGGTGCCGGGGCTGGCAGGGGCTGGAGGTATCCATCTGCGCTGAGCCGGGCCAGGCGGGGCCTCCAGAGTGGGGCCTATGGAATTGGCCGTGCCTCCTGGCTGGCTTTCCCGCTCCCCCCAGCAGGGGGAGATGCCGTCTTTTCGTGTTCAGGAAGGAGGGAGAAAGAGAGGGGGCCAGAGATTGGGAAGCTGGTTTTAGGACTGTGGCCAGACCTCAGAGCTGGGATCGACGTCATTGTTCAGGGCAGCGCCCTGAGGCCTTTCCCACCGAGTTTTCCCGGGGCTCCAGGCCTGGCTCTCCCGCTTGTGGAGTTCCAGCTGCTCTGGCCCAGGGAGAGGGCCAGCCTCCACACAGCCTCCCCCTTCGAGGGGCCCAGCATCTGCCATTCCCAGAGCTCAGGGTGGCATCTGGGCTGGGGCTGCGGGTGTCCGGCGCCTGGCAGAAGCCTGGAAACCACATGCTTGGACTCCACGGAAGTCAAATGAAACCATGAATTGTAGCTGGGTGTCCACATCCCGGGTAGTCACCTCACAGGGCGCCCCAGGAAGAGCATGAGGCTGTGGGGCTGGGGATAGAGATGGGGATGAGAATGGTTAGTACCCGGGGCCTGGGTGCCCCAGCCCCTGAGCACCTCCCACCCCCTCCCGAGACCCACTTCTCTTTCCTTAGGGCACAGAATGGCAGGCCTGGGTGAGGGGCAGTTTCCCTCCATTTCTCTCAGTGCAGGAGCTTTCCTGTTTGGAAAAGAAAAATAGAAGATGGTCCCTCCCGGCCTTCATAGCAAACAAGTTAGTAAGAGCACATTCCGGGTGAGGGGTGGCAGGTAGAGATTTGGAGAGATTTACTTCTGGGGCTCACCCGTCCTCCCCGGGGAGTGGGAGCTGATCCACTTACCTCTGGGCTGGGCCGAATGCCAGCGTTTGACCTGATTTGCCTCTCTTGCAGTCTTGGGAGTACAGGCAGAGCCATTGATGGGGCTGCCCGCTTCCCTGAGGAGGCCACTGCCTGGGGTCTGGCTTCTCTTCAGGCAAAAGGGGACTTGAGGAGCGAGGCTTTATTTTCATTTCTGCTCCCCTTAGTGGGACTGAAGGACTGACAGAATGTGCCCCTGGCCAGCCTGGAAGAGCTGCCCTGGGGTCTGGGCCCACTCTGGTCACTGCCCTGTCCTCCATGCTGTTGCCCAGAGGAGAGGGCAAGGGTGAGGCTCGAGCCAGTCTGTGTGGCGACAGGGCCCCAGGAGAGAAGGTGGCCAGGTTCCTTAGCCCCAGCTTGGGAGGGAGAGAAGCTTCATGACAACACCTGCCTGCCCAGCACCTCCCAGCTCGCTGCACACTTTCTCTCCTCCCCTTTCCTGGCTGCCCCCTCCTTTCTGGGTGACCAGAGAAACTGGGGCATAGGCGTGGGGTGGAGCCAGGAACCTCGGTGTCCCGCCTCCCAGCCTTGGGCTCTGCCTCTGAGCCCCCAGGGAAGGCGGAGAAAGTGGGTCAGAGTCGGCGTGGGGTGGGGGTCTGGGAAGTGGACTCTGGTGTCCCTTCTCCACCTAGATGCCCCCCTGGCACACCTCTGTGCTCACTATAGATCAGGATCTGCCCCACTCTCCCCTCCCCTGTCCCATCATTCCAAAGGGATTGAAGGCTTATCACGGGACGTCAGGAGGAGGCAGGGTCAACCCTGAGGGGATGTGCAAGATGCCAAAGTAGGTGTTCACATTTTTCCCAGACCTGATCTCAAATGAGAGGGTTCAGCCAGCACCTAGCATGGGACCTGGCGCATGGCAGCTCCTGGGCGATGCTGACGGGCTCCAGCATGACTGGGCTCTAAGGGCAGGAGAGAACTGGAGGGCAGGCAGGCCCGATATCTCCAGGACCCCAGGGCAGCTGGCACCCCACACTCCATCTGGGGTGCTCCCCGGCCAGCCCTTGGCTTTTTTACTGTGCACAGAGCAGACTTTGCTTTTTTCTTTATGGTCAGGCCCCCACTCCAGCCTTTTGAACCCAGGAAATGGGAGCCTTCAAGAGCTCAAGGAGCCACATGAGGTTCTCGTCCTCCAGATTTAGAGGGTTAGGAGGCCTGAGCCCAGCCTCCAGGGGAGGGAGCAGAGTGAGCAAGGACATTGCGGTCGGTGCCTGTTCCTGATGAGGCTCCTGTAACCCACGCTTTGTGGGTGCTCTGTAAGGTTTGTGGGATGACATGTGGGAGAGCTAGATGCGTGGGGATGGAGAAGAGACATGAACCACAAGGAGAGGGGCTATAAAGCAAGAAGGATTGAGGTTAGACATTAGGAAGACTCTGTTGCATGAGTTGAATCTCCAAAGAAAAAAAAAAGACACTTGTCCCCATCCCAGGCCTCCTCTCTTATTCCCCTGGAGGATTCTGGGAACTACATTGAGGATTGTCTGGCTGTGTCTGACACTTCACTTCCCACTTCAAGCTGTTACTGGAAGTCATAGTAGTGCTGGGAACTGCCCCGAGTCCCCGGCTCTGGCCACCTCTGGGTGCCCAGTCTCCTGGGTGCTCCCAGCTTTCCTAAACAGGGAGTTGTGTTTCCTTAGGTTTCTGACTGCTCCACGTTCTGGGGCCCTTGCTTTTGAGTCACTGTAACTGATGATTTCCTCTCTTCCAGAACAGGGCTGCCCTACCATACTCTCCTGTGCCTGGGGCAGGCAGAGAGAGCCAGGACAGGGCTAGCCAGCCCTTCTGGTTGCTTTCAGCGTGGCTGGGTGGAGTCCTGGCTGGGAGGGGCTGCCCCCAGCTTTCTGGGTTCCCTTGAGTCTGCTGCCTGTCACCTGTTAAGGAGACCTTGACCTTCCCTTCCCTTGCTCTTGAGAGAGCCTGGTTGGCTAGGATGAGGTTGGGGCAAGGGGTGCTGAGCAAAGTCCTCAGACCTACCCTGAAATGTCCACCAACTCCAGAGCCCTGTGGGGAGCACTGCTCCATCACCAGTTTTCTGGAGTCTTCCCTGGCTGAGAAGCTGAGGCTCCAGAGCTTTGTTTCGTTCCTGTTGACCTCCAACTCCCTCAATATACATCTTGCCAGCCAGTCTAGGGCCTGGGAAAGCCCACCTCTGCCACTTACCCATCCATGTGATCCCCCCACCTGAGGGCAGGAGGCCCCTTTGCCATCCCCAGCTGGCAGGAGCCACTGCTGCTGTGTCCTTGGTTGGCCAGCTCCTCCTGGGCTCCCGACAGGAGGGTGAGGTCATCCAGTCCAGGGAGAGGACAGGTGTCCCTGGCTCCATGCCTAGAGTTGGGGGCAAAGGGGGCCAGGAGGGGGCTCCAAAATAGCAACTGTGACATCAGGAAGGGGGAGGGGGACACAGACCCAGGAATAACCAGGCTATTAAAAGGCTCCAGTGAGGTCAGGGGGCCAAGTGGGATCTCTGTATCAGTGGGAGGCACAACCTCAGGAGGAGGGATGGGCCAGCAGTGGGCTGGGTAGGCGGGTGTCACCAGTCCTCATGGCGCTCTAGCCTTAGGTCCCAGCAGGGCCCCAGGAGCCGGGGCTGCTCTGCCAGGCCTGGGGCTGGTGGCTGGTGGGGAAGGGCTGGATGCTGGCAGCCCCTTGACTCTTCTTGAAGGGGCTCCAACCTCAAGTCTCTTCCTGCCTGGGTACTGGGGGTCATTATACCTGTTAATGGAAACCCTGGGGCAGCTTCGTGTGCTCCCCTCCCTGTGCAGGAGGCAGTGGGCTGTGGTGGTTAGAGCTCAGACTTGAACTTCAGACATCCCAGACCTACCACTGAAACAGCTGTATGACCTAGGGTGAGCGACTTCATCTCTCTGTGCCTCGGTTTCCCCGTCTGCACCTCTCTTCTGAGGTCATCGTGCAGAATAAACGAGGTGATGTATGTGCTGCTTTTAGCATTACACCTGGCACATTGCCACAGGAAGAGCTACCTGTGCTCTGAGAACGGGCAGGTGCTCCCAGGTGCCCTTCCCTGGGTGGGGTGAGGCCTGTCCAGGAAGAGTCTCTCTGCCCCCTGGAAGGAAGCCGAGCAGCCTCTGGAGGTGACACCCCTAATGGGTAGGAGGGAGCTGCCATTTAGCTGCTGCTCAGGGGTCTCCCTGCCGGTCGAGGGGGTGGGGGAGCCACCTCCCAGCTCGGAAAGAGGGGAGAAATTAAATCAACTCCCATCCGTTGGCCGTTAGAGGGACTCCAGGGAAGATGCAAGTTTAGGCCAGGTGGCCCTGTCTGCCACCCTCTCCCAGACCCTTCCAGTTCCTTTACTTGCTCTGGATGGCGAGAGGGCAGATAGAGGATGAAATCTGGCTTTTTGGTCTCTAGCCCCTCGCCTGCCAAGAGCAGCGCCAGAGCTGCTCCCAGATGCGTGGGTATTCTAGCGTGTGCCCTTCCCCAGCGCAGGCTCTGGCCACCCGGCTCTGTGGCGTTGGCCCTGAATGCAGGCCCTCCGCTGTCCCCATCCCCCTGCCTGGCGCTTCCTCCTGGGGTGGAACGCGCCTCCCCCTCCCCCACTTGGGGCCTCCGCCAGGCCCGGGCTCCTGGCAGCCGGCCGGCGGCTCCCTGAGCATGCTCCACCTATTTATAGACAGGGCCCTCCCCCAACTGCTATTTCAGTCTCCTGCCAGCTGCCGGCGGCTCATTCGGGAAGGAGGAGCAGGGAGCCGGGCCCAGAGCTGTCACCCAGGGCTGGGAGGGAACGCAGAGAGCCCGCCTGCCTGCTCAGCTCCCCTTCCTGTCCCCTGAGTGCTCAGCCATACCCGCTTCTGGGAGCTCTGGAAGGGCCAGTGGTTGGATGCCCCTCTAGCAGGGAGCTGGGCCTGTGGCTCCGGGGCTCCTGGCTCCTCCTGCCGCTTGCAGTGCCCTGGCCGGATGAGGCACCTCCCCACAGCGCGGGTCCCAGCAGCAGTGGCCTGAGGGAGCCCCTGAGCAGCGAGGGCCCCGCCCAGCCACCTTCCCTTTGGCCGACTCCCGCCTCAGGCGGCCCCCTGCCGGGCATGCTGCTGGTGCCCAAGGCCCAGGGGCTTGTGGAGATGCTGCAGACCATCTATGAGACGGAATCCTGTTTCTCAGCAGATGGGATGCCAGGCCGGGAACCATCCTTGGAAATCCTGCCTCGGACCCCTCTACATGGCCTCCCTGTGGCAGGTAAGTGCCTCGGTGTCCCCGCCTGCCCTCTGCCATTGGGCATCCTTGTCTCTGGGGCTGAGCGTCTGGCTCCAAGTCTCGCCCAGATGGGGTCCTGCTTAGATCTTTCTGGAGGTCTTTGTTGAGGATATGTGCAGTCAGGGGAGGTGTGCTTACTGGGATGGGCTTCCCTGCTCTCCCTGGGCCAAAACCTGCCCTCCCACCATGCCCTCCAGCTGCACTCTGCTGCATCTCTTCGAGTCCCTTTGGCCTCAGGCAGGGTCGACATCAGCTGCTGGGGGCTGTGGATTACTAGAGGATCCTGGCCTAGTTGGCACCATGGTCAGAGGGGAGGAAGTGGGTCAGTGACCTGCCTCCAGGCTGTCTGCTCCCCGGGTCTGGACAAGGGAGGAACCCATAGTCCGAGTGTCCATAAGAATAAAGGCTACCCCCACTCCTCTGGCTGGGTTCTTAGGGTCAGAGGGTCCAGTGCAGTGATTTCTGCTGGTGCCCAGTCAGGAGTGCCCTGGGAATCAGACACCTGGGGAGGAGGCTTGATGCAGTTGTGGTGGAGGTAGGCAGAGGCTGGCAGCTGGCATGTTGGGGGTCTTGGCTGCCTTGGCTTCTGGCTCCCCCATACCTCTCCTCCCCCCAAGCTTTGGTTTATTCTCAGCCCATGAGGATGAAGGAATGTTACTCAGGCTCATAGGGCTTGAGGACTCCCTAGCCCTCCCACCTTCTCAGCGGGGACCTTTTTGGCTCTTGGCTGGGGGTGGCGTCCCCCAGAGCCGGGCCACTCCTTCCCTCCCTCCCAGGAACCTGTTGGCAGCATCAGGCCTTCCTGGCACAGCCTCCCCACCAGGCCGGCACCACAAGATGCTTCCTTTAGGGAGGGGCCTGCTGGACCCATGCCCGCTTGGCCCCTCCTGGCAGTGGCTTGGCACTTGGGTGTGGGCGTCTGTGTGTGTATGTATGGGGAGTCTTTGCCTCTGGATATGTGGGTGTGGGTCCCAGGCTTTGAACTGGAAGGTGGGAGCCATGTGCCTGTGCAAGTGCCAGTGATTTGACTCTAAGCTGTCCAGGGATAAGGTTGCAGCTGGACTGGGATGTGTGAGAGGATGGAGGTTTGGGAAACATTTGGAAAAGCCTTCAAACCAAGCCTACCATCTGCCTGAGCAGGGATGCCCATGTAGTCTCCTAAGGTCGCGGCATAACCCTGGGGACCAGCCCTGAGAGTGCCCGTGCAGGCCCCTGGGATGGGGGAGGGTGGAACCTTGGGGCCAGCCGTGTGGTCTCTGCACAGTCCCCTGGGAGGGGTGTAAACGCAGAGGGCCGTTCTAGCCCTGGTCTAGTGGAGCTCACAGCTCTATCTAAAGACCTGCCTGCTCACTCCCATCCTGAAGCCTCTGGGAGTCAAGGTGGTCCCTTGCCAAGCAAAGGGCTGACTGTGCAGAGCATCTGCCCGGGGGGTGGTTCTACCCCATCTGGCAGATGCCATATCAGTCCACCCATCCTATGCCCATCGCCCCTTGCCTCCCAGAAGCAGTTGGCGGTTGGCCTGAAGTTTCCTCCTCAGCATGTTCTCTCATCCTCTTTCAAGTTGGGCCCCAGAGTCCTTGCAGGCTGGAACCCCGCGGATCCCATCCCTTCCCTAAGGCTCCCTGTCCCTGCATAGACCCCCCCAAGCCAGTCCCTC